ACGGAGGAATAAACTTTGGGATCCAACTTTGGATTTTGTATATACAGTTTGGGTTTGTCCCGATACAGGACAGCGCCCTTACGGGGCAACCCCGAAAGCTCTCTTCTCCTTCCGGTCTTTCGCGACCGGAAATTGAACACGACCGTTTACGACTGTGTAATAATTGGCTTCGTACCGGACCACTTAAACAGCAATTGTAGGTCATCTCGGCAAGGTACTTGGCACGACACAATACCGCGTTTCCTTTCTCTCCCTCTTCCTCTCTCTCTTCATTCCTCTTTCCATATAGAGTGCAACTGAAGCCACCGGTCGAGATTGTTGACAATGAGACTGGAAAGTGGCTCTCTCAAACGAATCCATTGAGCGTTAAATGCCACCGAATAACGATTTGCTCGTGAAACGGGAATCGCGCGATGGCCCGAGCGATACGCGATTAAAAATGTATCGACGTTACATTTAACCTTTAAAGAGAAAGAGAGAGAGAGAGAAGGGGAAGAAGGAGAGATCCCAACGGGAGATTTTATAATGTCCTACTCTCACGCCATCCCATTTCCTTCATTCTATTCTCATGAATCAACAGATTTAATCCCCCAACTCCCGATATGACTGACATAATGAATTCTCGCGGAAAACTCTTACGGTCGTAGGATTCGTGTAATTGCATAATCATCCTAATAAGTTTTCGCCGAAGAAGTCCTGAGGCAACGAGCAGTGAACAGGAATGGTTGAATTATTTCGACTTCCGCCTCGTTAATACCGCCGAGGTCGTTGACGTTTGAACGGTCCGAAGGAGCAACTTACTTTCAGTTCTGTATTAATATCGCGCTCGGAACAGAGAATCTTCCCGGAATTCTGATTAGATCCACGCCCAGAGAGTTTAAATTTCATTGCGCATCATTGCGGAAACTCCGAACGAGAGTTGCTTTAGGCAAGGAACGTTGCTTTAATAAACGTCGCATTCTACGTCCCGACGTACAACGATTGACGTTTCTAAAAGGTAGCAAGTCAACTGGGAATGCATCGATCGTCATTTCAAGTACTGTACGAGGTCGTTTTATGAGCTCGTTCTTGACGCATTGGCCAATCGCGACAACGAAGCGATCGAAGCGTGATTCAAATTTCATAGCTTTAATTTCGCGAAGGTTTGATTGCCTTGAAATGCGATCTTCTTTTTTTTTTTTTTTTTTTAACAAAATAGTAGCACTCTCATTTTGGAAATATAAGTAATTATCGACTAATTTTCGAAGAATAATTACTGATATTTTGAATTTCACATTATAAATCATCCAGATCAAACGTATATTAGAAATATATGTCGTAGAGTCACTTTTTGCTCGTTTAATACTATTATATAGATTTGAACGTAAATATATATTGCTGGTTTTTTTATTATACCTACAACGCATGCACACGTACAAACTATACTTTTATATTAGACTTCTAATCTAAATTTAGAAGATAACAATGCTTTTTTCGTGTATCTTAATCCCAGGGATTTTGTGTTTATATTCATACAAAATGTATATTTTTTATAAAAAAGCACATAATATGACGAGTTGACAGCTCGTCTGTCATTCGAGACGTCACATTGAGATAAAAGTTGATAAGGAAAAATATAATTTCGTAATTATTTCTCGTTTTTCATATAAAATCGAAATTCCCTGAGATCATTTATGCGTGTATTGCAATCGTTGAGAAGCATTTTTAAATCTGCCAAATTAATAGGACAAAAAGTAGAAGTACGAAAATAATATTTGATCGATAAAACAGACAATCATAATGAATCCCCTTAATTTACCGTAAAAGAATTTTTCAAATGTAACAGAGGAACAAGTCTTGATTTCTATTAAATTTCTAAACATAATAAATAGTAAAAAATTGTAAATAAAAATTAGAATAAGTCATTTCTCGAAATTGTTACAACCATCTCTCTAGTTTTGCTAGGGTTAAAATTATTGCTCGATGTAACTTTGAAATTTCACTGAGTGAAACGGTTAATGTTGCCATGCGGCCTCCCCTTTTCCTCTCCCTCTCTAACTTATCAGATTCAACATAGTTTTGAAGAAAGTTTTGTACGCATATACATTCTTTCGCGGTTCTCCTCTTGTAACACATATATTTTTACAAAAGTTTCTCGTTCAAATTTAACGAACATGCAAAGTCTCTCGCAAATGTTTATCAAGTGTACCGGAAGTTTGTCTGGGATAACAAAAACCGACAACTAAAAAAAAAGGAAAGAAGCCGAGAAATTATCTCCGAGGAAAACTTGGAGATATCTGGCTTCCCAAAGTTGAGCAGTCATGTTAAAAGTAAAAAGTTATATCCGTGTGTAAATTTAGTAGAGCGAATCGCGTCTCTGCGCAGTTGACTCTTTCCACTATTTTCCTTCGTTTTTCCTCCCTTATCCTTGTTGTTTTTTTTCCTTTTTTCTCCCAGCTTAGGAATCCCCATAAAAAAGTTTCCAGCCGCGCGATCTCCACTGTTTTCGCCTCGTACTTCTCAATTATTAACAACAATGTAACTTCTCTGCTTTTCAAGCATAGTTCATCTTGTAGATGTATCGCGTTGGCAGGTCTGTTTCACACATTCCCGAAATACTGCGAGCTTTTCCTCCCTCTCTCTCTCTCTCTCTCTCCCCCGCTTTCTTCCCTCTTTCTCATATAGCCGCATTAAACTCAAATTCATGTTCATTATAGAGTAGATTCCTAAGCCCCATTAACATCTGTACAATCTTATCCATTTCGAACACCATCAATCCTATTCGCCCCTATAAACCGGTCCTTTTCATCTCAATTTTGCCGATTATCCCAAACAATCCGACAATCCTATAAGAAGATAACATGACGGTGCGCTGTTGGATACATCAATGGACAACGTTATTAATTAGTTCCCACAGGCGGCCGAGACAGCTTTACGTTTTCGATGGGATCGTGACTGAAATATATATTCGAATGTACAAGATTTTTTTTCCCCGCACACAAAAAGAGAAAAACGACAATTTTTATGGAAAGGAAAACCCGGCGCGCTTACACACACACATACATTTTTCGCGTTCACCCGCTGGCGCGGACGTATAAATAGATTTATTTGATTCCGTCTCTCCTCCGTAGATCGGAAATATTTTCTCGCCCCTTTTCAGGAGAACGATACTCCGGGAGCAGTGAAAGGGGTGAAAAAAGAGTGAAGTCGAGCGGACGTGCCATCGTCAAGCATCCGACGACAAACGCGTTGTCGGAAGTGCCGCCGGCCTACGAGCACTAAATTCACACTCGGTGAGGTTATGTTATTCTTAAAGGGATATCAAGTTCACGCGCCTGGATCGAGTGCGCCCGCAATGCAATGGCGACAGTGCGGGAAAGTGGGCCAGGTCGGAGCCGATAAGTTAACGGCGACAATGTAAAGCGGTCCCTCATCCCTCATCCCTTCGGCCGGCTCGATATAGGCTCCTCGCGACTACGGGATTAAACTTTAGATAGAATCTCGAACTTTATTTATCTTACTTTGATAACGCGCGAGAGGATGAGGTCGCATCCTTAAACACTTCATCCCCTCTCTCTCTTCAACGAGGATGGCGCTAAACGAGATAAGCTTTAATTTCGGATATGACGTTATATGGCACGAGCGTTAATGGGTCGACGTATCGTTACAACGAGAATAACTCAAGCGAATCTTATCTTGATATAGGGGATTTAAGCGAACCCTTCAGCGTATATAGCATATATGCATGGAAAAAAGACGCGTGTAAAAAATTGCTTCTTAGATCTCCGTAATAATTTTCGTATCGAGATTTTTAAGGTTAATCTTAAAATTCAGATTAATCGGAATATGAAATCAGAATTTCAAAATTTTAAATGGTAGATCTAAAAGTATTGATATAATGTTTTTGATAAAATAAATTATTATATCTTTTTAGCAAAGTTTGATTTGCCATTTAGAGTAACAAAATTCAGATATATTTTGATTTAACGATCTTAATATAATTTTTGATGTACGCTTCTTTGTAATAATCCAATCATTTTTCAAATTTAATCCGCCATATTGGAGCCGTTATTTTGAAATTCTAATATATTCGAATTCAGCCAACCTCAAAAATCATAACAATATTAAGTTTCATATAAATCGCAAATGGATAAATCAATTTTTGTGCATATATGCACATCACATGCAGATGACACAAAACTTATTTTCATTACACTGTGAAGAGGTTAAGTGAATAACCACACGATAAGCTCATCGTATCGCATTCGCATTTTTTTTTTTTTTTAAGTAAATACATATATCAGGAAGAAAGGAAAAAAGGGTGTTGAAGGTAAAATAGAATAACAAAATTCAAATATATTTTTATTTAGCAACCTCAATAATTTTTGATATACGCTTTTTTGTAATAATCCAACCATTTTTCAAATTTAATCCGCCATATTGGAGCCGCCATTTTAAAATTCTGATATATTCGGAGATTCAGCAACTTCAAAAACCATAACATATATATATTAAATTTCATATAAATCGCAAAAGAATACATCGGTTTTTTGTGCATATATGCACATTATATGCAGGTGACATACAACTTATTTTCATCACACTGCGAAGAAACTTTAAATAAATAATCACGATAAGTTTATCTTATCGCATTCGCACTTTTTTCTTTTTTTTCGAGTAAATACATATATCAGAAAGAAAGGAAGAAAGGATGTCGAAAGTAAAATTAAAGTCGACGATTATACTTTACGTACTACTCTCTCTCTCTCTCTCTTGGATAAAAGATTTGCTCCAATTTCTCATTAATCTCATTATTCTTCATTAACCTTGTTCTTGTACTTCATTGTTCATTAATCTTCATTAACCTTCCGGGAAGCTGCTACTAACTCCACTTGTCGGAAATAGACGAGGGACAATGAAAAACTGATACTATTCCTGATTTACTTCACACCTTCCCCGTCCTCTCTCTCTCTCTCTAATCTGGCAAAACAAATAACCAGTTGACTCGGGTCTGTTTGCAGATGCACTTGGGAGATGTCAAGTTGCGGCGAGGATGAAACACGAGCGACGTTAAAGTGCAATCGTCTGGAATGATGCATTGAGATAAAGGCCTCCGCGCATTACCGAGGCGCGACGACGTTTATGACGCCACTTCGTCTTCGAGGTTGCAGTGCCACGAAAACCCAAACTCGCGAATAAAGAAACGACATGTCCTTTACGAAATATCGACAATTTCCGCCGTTGCTGCCGTATCGGAGCGCACAAAGCCCTTCCGTGGCGATCTGTTCGCTTAACTGGGCTCCGTTGAACTCGTGGAAACGTTAAAAGGAAACGGAATTATATTTTGCGCAATTTTCCCCGTCATCCTCCTCAATTATCGCCAATCACCTTCGCAAATAATTATGCTTTAACACCCCGGGTGAGTTAATCAGGAGAGTTAACACACACCATCAACCGGTGCCTAGGGTTGACCAACTGATCTATCGGAGAGTCCCAGTGTTCACTTGGCCAATTAGCGATGCGAGCTGTCGAATCTATCCTTTCTTGATGCGACTCTTTCGGTTCCTCGACGAGCGATCGTTGTAACAAGTCGATCGCGGGCGGTGAATCGCGTTCGAGTCAACACTTCCGGTGCGTCGCGCCTCGTCATGAGAGCGGAAGCTGACGGACGAGCGGCGACGAGCGTCGCGTGGGGTTTATCGTCAGCGGACTTGCGCCTGGTGAGCCGGAAGGGCGCGAGATGAAAGCGCCCGCGTCGCGGGATGTCGTCGGGGCTGGCCGGATGAAGAGGATGAACAGGATGAGGACGGCCGGGATGGTCCCTATGGCGCCGCTGGCCGTGATTGTCTGGTGCTCCTGCTGGCTCCTGCTGATCGGCGAGTGCGCCGGTCAGAAGCCGATCAATCTTAGCGGCAGCAAGAAGCGCGACGTATACATCGCCGGTTTCTTCCCGTATGGGAACCACGTGCCGGAGGGCCACATCGGACGGGGCGTCATGCCCGCGGTGAAACTCGCCGTCGAGCACATCAACGAGCACCCGACGATACTCAGGGACTATCGGCTGCACATGTGGTGGAACGACACGGAGGTGAGTTTTTCTTTCTCTCTCTTTCTCCGGAGAATGAATAATACGAGGGACGTTTGAGAAAAGTAATGCTTAGACTGACGTGGAAAACAATCTTTTTTTCACGGAGATTGGGAAGAGTATTCTCTTTATTTCTCGAGAGATGTAATTGCTTTTGAGACCAACAGACACGGTTGCTGCAGTCGTGCTGCGATCAATCTTTCTTATAAGCTGGCTTTCTTATAAGCTCGAGAACCGCAAAAATGTCTTCCGCTGCAAGGATTTTTTTATTAAAAAAAAATCTCTTCTCACAGGTTTTCAGGTTCTCGAGAAAATTTCAATTCTCAAAAAAAGGGTGAAAAACATTACTCGCGTTGGTTTTAAATTTTATTTGAAATTATACACTTGTCATGAATTTAAATACATAAAGCTCCAGATTTTTAAAAGTGCTTGACACGATTAAACTTTGACGAGTTGGCGAATAAAAATTATTCAATAGAGAGATTATAATATGGCGTGTGTACATATTTATACTTTAGTGTAGCAAATTTAAGTGCCGTAAGGATTGAGATAATTAAAGCACCATCTCTGTGTGTCGAATCACTTCAAACCTTCTTTATATTTTAGCGTGCATAATTTGCACAAAAATGTTTAATTAGTTCAATCCTTCAATGCAGATTCTTTTCTTTTCATGCCATTTTTCAGTACAAATATTTGTTATCTCCCTCTTTCTTATTTTTTAAACCGCACTTTTCTTAATTCGCTTCTTTTTTTCTCCAAGTATTTTGCTTATTGTCGAAGACAATAGAATCCTTGTTCTTTGTCGAAAATGAATTCGTAATCTGATTAATTATTCAGATATTTGTACCAGTCTTCAATATATTTCTTAGTTTCAATTAAATTGAAATCAATGATTGATCCGAATTCTTTAAGACTTTTTACGTGACTTCTACATGTACATTTCACCTTCCTTTCCTCTTTTAAAATGCGGAGGATCAATTGGTAAAAGAATTGGCAAGTACAATTTGGAGAAGAGAGTAATCATGGAGCCCCAACTACTAAATAAATAATGATATTTAATATATAGCGATATACTTGGAGCCACTGGAAACTCCGCTTACCTCGCCGTATAACTGAAATAACGTGCTCGATCGAGAATTAATAAATTATTAGCTTACTTGGATGCTTATATCTTCTTTCGTTATTTTCCAGATATATTTCTGAAACTTGTGCTTGAAAATAATGTTTGATCAGATTTTTTACAGATTTCTCATGCGACTCTTATATATTTTATCATATTTTTCGCTCTCGTAAAACAAGTTTAAATTTTAATAGCTCGAAAAGAAAGCTGATGTTATAAAATACCATTTTATTTTTAATAATTTACAAGCTTTTAATATATCAATAAATCCATTTACAGTATATTTGAAATTTAATGCATGTGTAAAGTAAAATAAAAATGAATTTACATAAGAGTTTTTATATAAATTTCAATCTCAGAGAAAAAGGCGAAAATCCTTTTAAAGATAATTTGCTGAAAATACAAAAAGCATCACATTTTATAGTAGAAATTACTATCAATATCTTAAAAATGATAATTATAATACATATAAAAATATTATCTACACATATATCAAAATTTTATTTTAAAAAATTACAGAGATTATTTAAAATAAAATAAAGTTATAATAAAAAATTATAATAAAATTTATAATAAATAAATGTTTTAAAAATTATAATTCTATTATACCGGGTGTCCGGTGACTCGCGTTTTACACGTTAATGGGAGATTCCTGAGGCGAGTTGGAAACAATTTTTTCTCAGCGAAAATGATGAGAAAAGTCATAATTTTTTTAATGTTCCCATTTTTGAAATCATGTATCTATGTAACTAACCTTAAATTAAAATTCTATTGCAGTAAACTTTACCTGAAATTAACTAAAATATGTAGTTTTGTTAATAATTGATTTTTACAAGGCTTAGTTTACGAAAAAGCTTTTATTTTCAATCATTTATAACTCAAAAATTATTGGTGCCTGGACATTTTCGCTGAGAAAAATCGTCTTCAAATTGCTTCAGAAATCTCTCATTAACGTGTTAAACGCGAGTCACCGGACATCCTGTATATGTACACATAAAACTGTGAATATATAAAATATTTAAATATTAAACTATTATATATATATATAATTATTTGCAAAACTTATAATACCATTTTAGGATTTTAGGATTTTCTAAATTTCTCTTCTTTCATTTCTACATGTTTATTAAAAAGTTATAAATTTAGAATAATTATGTGTTTCTTAAAATAATTAATTTTTATAAATATAACAAAACTTTTGAATTAAACTGTCCTTTCTGTTATATCTTTAAAAAAGTATGTCTCTTAAAAGACATGATTAAACTGTCATAACTAAACATATAATGAAAGTATGGCTTTTATATACTGGTGGAGAAGTCCCCTTTGGAAATACGCAACAAACTATGTTT